TGTTGTCTCTGTTTTATCTCTCCACCTTTTTCATTTATACTGTAGACGTCTATATCATTGACGCTCATGGGCTGGCACTTTATCTGAGGTGTCCATGGTTCTGAGGTGCTAAAGTTCACAATGTTTATGTGGCTACAATGTCTACAATTTGTATTTATAAATGAGGCCTTATATCTCATTCACACTTGGTGCTGAATAAGTCTATCATTCTGCAGTCTGGAGCCAGTTCTTATTTTTCTCATTTTATTTTTTTTATTCAATGCAGTATAGCTCAGACTATCTTAAGACCTCAATTTGATACTTGCAGATTGTTTATTTTTTGTACGGTGGTGAGCCAATATTTCATATTGTATTCAGAAGGTTACATATCTGATTTTTCTCTTTCACGAGTTATGGGATCTGAGATGAATCCCGAAGGAGTGAGGACGCAGAAAGGGAAGTACACATCTTTTGTTTTGGTTGATAAGGATTTGTTAAGGGACATGGGTAAAGTGGGTTGGGAGGGATGGGAGGATCGTTCTTTCTATGGGGAGGTTATTTGGAGAGGGAGAGTTGAAGCTGGAAGTAAGTGCCAGCTCTACAGATGTGTAGGGAGGGGGACCTATTTTTTAACCTATCATTTTTGTGATGTTTGTTTTATTTGTGTTAACTTTGTTGTTACTGTGCTATGTTGCTCTGGTACTCGCTGCTTTTCACTCTTTTGCTGCTCGCATCCTAGGATTGACCAGAAACTTTTGCTGCCCTGTGCTGTGTCATGGCTGATGTGACTAGTGGGGGGGTGGCTGGTGGACAGGCGGTGAGGATCGTCTCCTTAAATACTGGTGGGTTAAATGCTGCAGTGAAGCGAACTAAAATCATGACACATATCAAGAGCCTCAATGCCGACATAATGTTCCTTCAGGAGACACATTTACAAAACTCTGATCACCGGAAGTTGAGCAGACAGTGGATTGGTCAGGTCTTTCACTCTAAATTTAATTTGAAAACAAGAGGCACAGCCATATTAATAAGGAAAAATGTACATTTCACTCATACTAGCACAATCCTAGATTCAGACGGCCGTTACGTGATTATCTCAGGCATACTATACCAGAAGCCAATTGTCCTGACGTCGGTCTATGCTCCGAACTGGGATGACCATCATTTTATGAAGTTGTTACTGTCCTCTATCCCGAACTTAAATTCCCATACTCTGATATTTGGGGGTGACATGAACTGTGTCATAGACCCAATAATAGACAGATCTAGCTCACGGCCCGCCCCACTCTTGAAAATATCACAGACCATTTCGGCCTCTATGGATCAATATGGTTATGTCGATCCCTGGAGGTTTTCGCACCCCTCTACCAGACAATATTCCTTTTTTTCGCACGCTCACCGATTGTTCTCTCGGATAGACTATTTTTTGGTTGATAAAGCACTTATTCCGTCAATTATTTCCACCCAATACTCTCCTATTACTGTGTCTGATCATTCTACTGTGATTCTGGACCTCCGCTTTGACCTCAGACCAAAGGAATTCAGAGTTTGGCGCCTAGACCCACTATTGCTGGCCGATGTAAACTTTTGCAAATTACTGATTCGATTGGTTTTTTCTGTGAAACTAATGAGAATGATGAAACCTCCCCCTCAGTATTGTGGGACACCATGAAGGCTTTCATTAGAGGCAGAATTATCTCGTACACGTCTCATGCGAACAAGCTGCGCAGGGCTCGCCAGAGGGAATTAGAAAAATCTATAGCTAACCTTGATGTCTTACTGTCGACTTCCCAATCACCTGACTTGTACAAAGAAAGCTTGACCTTCGTCTTACTACAGAAGCTGAACGTCTCCTCCTCTGCTTTCGTGGGTCTATGTACGAACATGGCGACAAGGCGGGTCGCCTTCTGGCCCACCAACTAAAGGCCAGATTGGCTTCCAACCAGATAACCCAGATACGAGACGAGTCAGGCTCTTTAACCTCTGACCCAGATGAGATAAACGACATATTTAGGTCATTTTATTCTAAGCTATATACCTCCGAGTCCTCTAACGATGAAAGTCAGTTACGTAATTTCTTTGATAAATTAATTTTACCAAAAGTTTCGCCGAATGATGGTCAGACATTAGATGCCCCTTTAACACTTTCTGAAATCAAAGAGGCCATTTGGGTGGAGTGGGCTTCTCTCTTTTTCACCTTGCAACGGTTCGGTTTTAGTGCCAGCTTCATCTCCTGGATTAAGCTACTCTACTCCTCCCCTTACGCATCTGTGTGTACAAACACACAGTGTTTAAGACTTTTTCCTCTTTTTCGCGGCACTAGGCAAGGCTGTCCGCTCTCTCCCCTGTTGTTCACACTCGCCATTGAGCCGTTATCAGTTGCTTTAAAGTCGATTGGAGGGTTTGGGGGGATCAAAAGGGGGGGTTGAACGTCTCGTCTCGCTTTATGCTGACGCACTCCTCCTTTATGTGCGTGACCCCCTGACAAGTATTCTGCCTATCCTTTCGCTCCTGAACACTTTTGGCGTTATTTCTGGATATAAATTAAACATACCGTCGTCTGACATTTTAGGTATAAACATCAATCCATCCCCACATATAGCTATTTTCGGTAGGTCTCCTGACGATCTTGCCACCTCCACCACTCAGGACAATGTTACTGCTTTTGCCTCCTTAATTGCCCGCAGGAAAATCCTTCTCTTACGGAAATCTTCACAACCTCCCTCCTTCAAAGCATGGCTGCACGATGTCTTATTTCTCCTTTAGTTGGAGAAAATTAAATTCTCTCTTAGAGGGTGCTCTGATAGGTTTTACACTCACTGGAGACCTCTGCTTCAATATTTTGAGAAACTCTCACCTGACGAGGTATTGTAGTAGTACACCTTCGCCTGCTGATACTGATCCTGTCCTCTCGTGCCTGTCCAGCCCCCCCGCGTAATTAAATACCAAATTTTATGTTCTGACCTTACTTCTTTCTGTGCGCGGGTTCTTCAGCCGCTTAGGTGGTAGCCTGGATGTGAGCAGCTGTTGTTGTCGTCCCTTTTATTGATCAAGTTGAGCAGTGTGGGTGAGTGATTCTGTCTCTTTTATAGGTTATACTGTTTTTCCTATTTACCTTTGTGGTATGCTCATAACAATGTTTTTTTTTTTGTTATGTTTGTCTCTTCAATTTTCATTATTATTATTTATTTGTTTGGTTATTGTATTTTTTTTTTTTTTTCTGTGAAGTTTTCCTATCTTGTATTTTTATTCTTGTCTTTAAATTAAGAGGTCCATTTGTTGGTCTGGGAGGGTTGTTTACAGGGTTAAGGGATACTGGGTTTTTGAATGTTTCTGAGGAAAAAAGAAAAATGTTGACTGCATCCCAATTGCACTGTATGTTTTGAACTTGCTTTAATAAAAATATGTTGAAAAAAAAAAACAGAGACTTTTACAGGTTTCTACAACTTAGACATTATGCTGATAAATTAATAAGAAAGAATGACTTAGTCAATATGAATTCTGCCATTTTTAAGGTTTTCTTAAAGGCCTACGACAGATCCAGGCCTTAGAAACATCTCTAAGCTGTACAATGGTCTGAATGAGCTGGATTGGGACAACACGAGTTACGTAAAGAAAAAGTGGGAAAAGGAAGGAAATCTTACATTAAATTCTGAAGTATGGGAGAAACTCCACAAACAACAATGGAAAAGTACACCTGCCCTGTCCTGGAGAGAGTTCGGATGGAAAAATTTGATACGTTTCTTTAAAACGCCTGCACAAAATAATTTTGTTAATAAAAACACATCCTGTTGGAGGTCTTGTGGGGAGAAAAAGGCAAACCACTACCATGTATTCTGGCAATGCCCGTTGCTCCAGAATTACTGGATTCAAGTTAAAAACGTAATGGAAAAGGTGCTCAAAGTGCAGATCCCGTTCAATTTTGCAACGCTCTATCTAGGTCTGCAGCCAGACAGCATTGAGGGCTTTTCCAAAAAATACTTGTTTAATATTCTACTGATATCAAGCAAGAAAGCTCTCACCAGAAAATGGATGTCACGGTTGAGAACTGGATCGATGTAATCCATAATATTTTGTGATGGAGAAACTCACATTTATTTTACGACTTGAACAACAGAAGTTTAAAAGTTGTTGGACACCTTGGACCACTTATACATCCTCATTAAATCCTACTACAACCAATCTCAAAATATGGACCTAATACACCTCTTCCCCCCTAAGTGTTTACTAGTTTTCGTTTTTTTTTGAGCTACTAAAGTGTACATAGTTTATTGTTGTCAATACAAGTTTTCCTGATCCAGGAACACATGCAAGCAGCTAGGCCTAGACCCCCCCCCCAACATGTTTCCTTTTCTGTTATACATCTCACTATGGGTGATAATAAAAGGGTCCCAAGTTGTTAATTTGAATTTGCTCTGTGGCACAAGTGACAACTCTGACTTGTAAAGTGTGTTTTTTTTCACTAAGACTTTACTTTAATTCATCTGATCACTGATCATTTCTACAAGTTTCTAAATGTTTTTTTGTTTTGTTTTGAGCATTTCTCAGTATGTGAAGATTTATGACCGTAAACTTTGGTATACGTTTTTGTGAGAGTACATTTACTTTAAACTTATTTACTTTCTTTCACTGACTGATCAGTTTGCCTGATTGGGTGCGTGGGTTTGTATGTGTGCAGGTATATGTTTTTAAGTTTATCTATGTAAGCAGGGTCATGTACATGTATTTATATACGACAACAATCCTAATCGCTTACCCATCCCGGCATATTACTCTTACCCACAATGGCTTTGCCAAGCTTTGAATTTTCTTTTACAAAATGTTTATTTGTCTCACCACTATTACCACCTCATTTTATAAGAATGTTTAGAAAACTGTGTCTTATGCCTGTTTTATTGAATCTCTTTACTTTCTGAAAAACGTTTGTATCTTTGACTAGCTGCAAAATATGTCTCAATTTTGCTCTGAATAAAGATTTTAATTAAAAAAAACAAAAAAACATTTGGAGCAAGTCAGAATACCATTTAGCGCAGAATCCTCTGAGTCGGAGAAGACGTAGTCCAGGAGGAAAGCAGCCATCTCCGAGCGCAGGGAGTCGGACGGCAGGTGGACCAAAGCTTGGAGTGCGGGTTCAGAGCGAGCTGAACTCGTGCTGTACAAGAGCAGCAAGTCACAGAGCAGCTCGAACGCCTGCAGATGGAAACACACAAACTGTAATCGAATGCACGTATGCAACATTTTGCAAATAGAGTCAGCCAGCAGGAGAAAAAGCACAAACTATTTTAATTGTGTAAATACTGTTTATTATGTATTCTGAGTATCTACTGGGACAGAAGCTTTGTGTAACATGAGCGCCCTCTGTTGGTGCCCCTGCAGAGTTGAGCGGTGCAGCCCGTGCATTGATGCCAGTCTGCACTTCGCTGTCCCTGTGATGAGTTGATTCATCAAAAGCTCTGCTAGATACCGTAAAATACGGAATATAAGATGCAGTATATGAGATGCTACGACCTATAAAATCATTTAGAGGTCGCCCAGAGAGAAAAAAGTTTTAAACTGAAGTCCCCAAAGTGCAGTTTCAGTGCAGCTCTGTGTTGCTCTTGCTTTAGTAATATCTGTTTTCTCTTTGTGGAGGTTGCACTCGTTTTAGCTACAGTATGCTAGTCGAGCTCTCAGCCTGCAGTGAAAGTTGTGAAGTACTAAAAGCCTGCAGGTCGTACTGCCAGACTCCGCTGGTCACTTGTTACCATTAGAACTCTTTGAATCAAAAGTACGCTCCCAAGGTTTATTTACTGAACAATAAACCACTGTTTCATTAAATGCACAATTATGACCTCATGACGGAGAAAAGATGATAAAAAGTCTCGTCAGCATCACTTTGTATACCATCACAGCTCCCAAAACACAATGAACGGGGATGAACTTTCAATCACTTCAGGTGGCGTGCGGTGTGTAATGGTGGCGGCTGCACTGACGGTAATGACAGGGTGTGTAAAAGAGATCTCTTTCGTGATTTCAGTTTGAAAAGGATAGAAGTTATTTGTTAATTAAGAAAGGGACGTTTTCCTTCTGGTTACAGTAGTGATGTGGAAAAATGGCCGATCAGTGGCGGCTTTAACTGGTCTTGATGTAAAATCAGAAGTCCACCCAGGACGAGACAGAGACCTTCAAAAGAGGTCTCTAGAAATACAGTTCCTACCTGATCTCTCATCTCCGCCTCGTTCACAGACAGACAGGCCTGACAGACTCTGCAGAAGGAATGCACCTCTTTCTTCAGAAGCTTCAAATCTGCCTGAAACAGACAGTGAGGAAGGAAGGTCCCACATTACCATCACTAATGTGTACATAGCATGTGCAGCCACTTGCAGGAGTGTAGTTAGAGCATGACAGATGGAGAGAATCTCTAATAAAGCATCAGAGGCGGCAATGAGATCAAATGATCACCTCGGATGGCGTGGAGTTGACTGCGTTTACTTCAGCCCACATCAGGTGAAAGGCTGCACACTTCAGAGCCGACACCATGAGCTGGAAACACACAAAAGGACAGTTAACATTTAAAACCATTTCTGGAGAGAAAATCATTTAATATGACGACTAAACAAAATTCAACGGCATTTTCCAAACAGATACACATCTACATGAAAGACTACCTAAACCCCCAGACCCCCTTCTCTGCTGTAAATCCCCAGACCACCTAAACCCCCAGACCCCTTTCTCCGCTGTAAACCTTCATTAAGTCGTGCTGGCGATCAGTCTGGGTTCAGTCTCAACAAAGAGCACAAAGTTTTTAGATTCTACATATCGGCTGTTTTTGAAACCGCCTCCTACATACTTCTATGGAACGTAGTCTGTAGTATGTGCAGCACTCTGCGTAGGACAGTAGTCTGACCTCCAGGAGGTGGTTATTCTAAAGTACACCAGGCCCGGCTTAGCTGGTTGCCGATCTTGGAATGAGGTATGGCTTGCGTGTGTGTGTGCGTGTGTTTGTGTGTTGCACGGACTGATGGTTACATCATGAAGCAGCGAGTGGGTGTGTCTTATCCCTCCTTCCCCCCAGCTCTATCCATTGTGATGCGTTGTCGTTCTAAAGACTTTTTTTTTTTTTTTTTTATGTTTAACATCCCGCAGACCTCCTTGTCAAGCTCTCCGGACTCCATCCTGTTCTTCAGAAGCTGGAGACACGAGTTGAACAGCTTCCAGCCCGTCACGTCCTTGGCACTGGACAACACAAACACCTTTTTGTAAGACATGGCGCCAATACGACTTGTCATTTGTATCATGAGGATGCACTTTTACCTGCTGAGGGCTGCAACCCTTTTTAAGGCAGTGGCAGCGCTGTAGATGTCATCATCATCTGCGGTTCCCTAGTGAACAAACACAGGCTTAAAGATCGACTCTGAACAACTTCAACACTCTGACGTTTGTGATGTAAAATCTCTGTGATGTAAAGTCTTCATCACTGAACTGTTTTGATCTTTTTGACCGTTTCTTGCTCAACCTTGTGTTCGTTTTATTTTATCTGCACGAGGCGTAGTTGTGCCGTAGACAGTAAATATAAAAGTTTGAAGCCTGAGTAACGTCCCCCGTCTGTTCCTGCAGGGGGCGCTGGAGTCCCATCGATGGCGGTCTCCATGCTGGAAATGCTGTCTCAGTCTAACTTTCAGTCAACCTAACGACAGGCTGAGAGCTGGAGCTGAGGCGGGTTTTAAACCTCCTGACAAACCGTTACACCGCGCCCACCTGTCAATCAGGTCAGCTACACGCCTTATTGTGAATAACTCTTATCCTTCATCAAATCAAAACTGATGAGTCATCAAAACATTCACCCCCCGTACAGTGTGTGTCCATCCAGACATGAGCTAATCACACCTATTTGGTTTTTTGAACCAGGCTGTAAACATGTTCATCTCTGCTGTAAAAACAGGCTTTTTAGAATGGGTGTGTATGTGACTTCCTGTGCTTCAGCAGCCAGCCTCTAGTGGACACTCAAGGAACTGCAGGACTTTACACTTCAGCATAGAGTCCAACTGATTACTAAAAGCTCCTGTTAGGGGTTTTCAGTGGTTATGAAATGGACTGATTTTAACACTCCTGAAGTTCTTCCCTATTTGATATAAATGTTTTATAGATTAGCACGTGCATGAATTCTGCTGCTTTTGAACGTACAAGCTTAGGTGACTCGTTATCCACACCTGCAGTAGGTCATTTAAGTAAGAACTGAAACACTCCGTCAGGGCATCCAGCAGCTGGCTGAATGCCAGGTGTGCCCGGAGGAAAAGGTGTAGCAGTCGGAGCAAAGGGCGCTGGCGAGGTGTGCACACGCCTCCAGCACGGTAAGCTCCGTGTGTTTCTCCACGATGCTGCATGTCTGACCCAGCAGCGAGTCCAGATGCTGACAGAGAGGAGAGATCGTTAGTAACATTCTTATAGTAACATTTTTTTACTGACAGGTAACGGCCAGTGTCCACCTGGCATTTATTTCTGAGTGCCAGGGTCTTTTTGCACTTGATCCCAATGGAGGAGGGAGCGTTAAAAATCATTCACCTTTCAGAAGGGTGATGTTGACGTCACCAACGGTCTTCAAAATATGAAACTCCCAGTATCTTTGTCTCCTACGGATCATGTCTGGATCCACATACTCCTCTTATCGGAGCCGTGATAGCAGGGCCGTCATTATTATTAAGCTCATTCTCTAGACAAAGTCGGGGGGCGAGCATCCTCCATTTGATGCTCATAGTGAAGGAAAAAAAACGATCTCAGGTGAAAAAAAAAAACTTTCAGTAAAAAGAGCATTGTGGGTTAACAAACAGCGCTTTTATTCTCATCTAAGGGCTCAGAGGGCACAGCCAACCCCCCCCCAAAAAAATGCTGGGTTGACACAGGGCCTCACTCTGGAGGGGCATTCAGAATTCAGAGATGATCAAAGACATAAAGAGAAGGATAAGACAAAGATTGGCTCCTCATATTTATGGCGCCTGGCTAAATAAGTGGGTGCGCAATTTTCAAGTTTTTACACACACTGAGTACTCACTGACCACATAGAAACCACAAGATCACTTATGACATTCAGACTTCATTTATTGTCGCAGGTAGCAGCTCTGTCATGACTCCCCCATCTCTGAAGAAATCTCCCTGATGAGCACATAACCTCAAGTAATCCTACCCTAAAGTTTTTAGAGATGTATATAGTTAATATGAATTAATCACATTTTTGAAATTCTATTATTTTGCATTTCAAAAAAGTCTTTCTTAGGCTTTTGTTTTGAAGGTTTGTCCTGTCTTAAGCTGATAGTATTTTACTTGCTGTGTGCTTTTATTTTGAAATAAAGTAAGGCCCTTCCTGTAGAGTGAAGGTTAGGACAGGAAGTTAAGCACAGAAACAGGAAGTGGTTAGGGATCCCAAAGTAAGGTCAAACAGCTCAAAGGAACGGTAACAAAGGTCAATGTGTGATGTCATAGGTCAATGTGTGATGGCATAAGGTCAATGTGTGATGTCATAGGTCAATGTGTGATGGCATAAGGTCAGTGTGTGATGTCATAAGGTGGATATTACTGTCTGAGAGTTTGTTAAAGTGAAATGAGATGTTCAAAGATGCAGCAGTGTTCTTCTTTTACATCAGTGAGACTACAGGGAGACACTGAGGACCACTATCTACGGAGAGCCTGAAGGGACAAAACAACATGAGAATAATCGTGATTGTTTTTCCTTCCATTAGCCCTAAAAATGACATCCCCCTCTGGCAGCTCACTCTCTCACAGACCTCTCAGGTTTATTTTGCTATGATGTGATAAAAACAGGAGGAACTCTGGGAGAGGGAGTACAGGTCAGAAAGAACAGGATGTGATATTTTAAATACAATTTTTCTGATTAATTACGTTGGTCCTGAACGCTTTCCACCACTCCTACCTTCTCCAGTGTGGGAGCGCTGCTGTACATCTCAAGGTCGAAGTGGAGAGGAGCTCCAAGAAGGAGGGTCACCTTCGATGCATCTGCCGAGTACTGCAGGTCAGCGAGGAGAGAAAAACACACGATCAGTATTGAAAAATGTCTCGTGAATATTGAAAATGTGCATGTGTATCCTTGATAATAATCTCAGCTTTCTTCTGGATATAGCGAGTTAGGACCTATAGTGAAGCTACACGGTCTACCTTGCTTCTGATGGAGGTCAAAACCTTCTCAGCAGCTTTAAACTTTTGTGTTTAACCCTTTAACTTTAATGGGTTAGCGTTATTAAGTGTGTACATTGAACCTTGGGGTCGTACCTTGGCCAGCAGCTGTGGCAGTAAGGGGATGAAGTGTGTGGTGATTCGTCTCCTGTCCTGCTCCTGGACCTTCTTGTCCTTCATACTGAGGATCTGCACAGGTATGTTCAGACACAGGTGAGCAGTTTAACCATGTTCATGCACACATACGAGGGCCCAAAAAAAAAAAAAAAAAAAAAAAACACTTACGATACCTTCAATAAACGCGGTGTAATTCTGACAACCTTTCTATTTTAACTGGCACAGCTTTTACTGAATTTACAGTAGTGGGTTTAGCGTCCCACAACATCCTTACCTTTTTGCCTTGTGTTCTCCCAACAGGCGGGGTCCCCTGTGCTGCCTGTCTAATGGCACACATCATCAGCTCTATGAGAGTCCCCTCCTCCTCGTACATCAGACCTGAAGCACAGAGGGGAACAGACAGGTGCAGAACTGAGTGGGGGAGATGACTTCATCTTGTGGTGTGCTCAGAGTCTAGATCCTCACCAGACTCCGTGAGCAGCAGCATCGTCATGGTCTCCCAGTCTCTGAGCACTGATCCTGCCACAGACCACAGACTGTCCACCAGGTACGCACCGTGCTCATGGAACTGGAAAGACAGTGAATGAGATCATTTTGAGATACTGCATGACTCACAGCTGAAACACTAATGTTGCTAACATCAGGAAACATGCAGCAGCAGGTTGATTAGAGCACGAGATGGTAGAGGTGGTGTGCAGACAGTCTATGGTCGTGCAGCGATCACAGGGAATAAAAGGTCACCACCCCCTCCCACTGGCCCCTCCCACTGGCTCCAGGTGAATTCTCCTGATTATATCGTATAATGCTGTGTTCTCACATCAGCTCACTCTGACTTTCTGCAGAATAAATACGAGGAGGCTGGAGGAGAAACTCCGGCTGAAGAGAGAAACATTCAGATGTTTGTGCTCACACATGACGCTCAGAACGAGAGACTTCAGGAGTGTTTCAGGAGTTTTCTGCAGGTGTGAGAGCCCTAAGATAGGTAAGAAGTGGGGACATGGACGGATAAAGGAGACATTACCTCGCTCTGGATGTAGAAGGAGATGAGGATTTGAAAGAAGGCTGCTGAGTCACTTTTCTCACTCTCCTGGTTGTCACTAGAGATCACACTTTTCAGCCTAACACACAAAAACAAACGATTCTCAAATACATTAGAAATAAAAAGATATAAAACTCTCAATTATAAAAGGTGGTGGTTAAAATGTTTATTTTCTACCGATCCACTTCTTCAGAGTCTGGTGTAAATTGTTTTTAGGTCCTGACAGACATTAATAACTCATGTTCTCTGAAAAAGGAACAAAGAAAATCCATCATCTGTATCAGTTTGTAAGTCTGTAAAAACTTTGACCAATGTCTGCCACGAGGTACCAATCTGATGAACCAATCAGACGCCTCCCTGTCTCCCTCGCTCTCTACCTCTTACCTGCTCTAGCTCACACTCAAAGCTCGTCACCGATGACTTTAGGAGTTTATACTGTGAGATTACTGACCGCTGAATGAGACATGAGACGATGTAGTTTCTACACAATGAGATGAGCTGAGGTCCACTTCTGGAGGGACGGCGCCCGATGTAAAGGAGGGGGCGTGGCTTTAGAGGGAGCACAGAGGGGAGGGGCGTGGCTTTAGAGGGAGCACAGGGGGCAATGAGGAGGGGCGTGGCTTTAGAGGGAGCACAGAGGGGTGTGGCTTTAGAGGGACCACAGAGGGGTGTGGCTTTAGGGGGCAATGAGGAGGGGCGTGGCTTTAGAGGGAGCACAGGGGGGCGTGGCTTTAGAGGGAGCACAGGGGGGCGTGGCTTTAGAGGGAGCACAGAGGGGAGGGGGTGGGTGCAGACAGCACACTGAGGGAATGCTACTTTCAAAATCATGCTAGTTCACAAAAATTACAAACCCTGCCTTTAAGACGGTTTATATTTGCTTGAAAAGATTGTAAATATTTTAGTCTTGAAGTCATACAACAGATATACTGTAAAATACAGAACATAAGCTGTCTGTTTTGGGTGTCTCCCAGTCCACAACGGGCAGTTTCTGTGTTTCCTATCCCTTCAATAAAAAAAAAACATAAAAAGCCCCAAAATAAAAAAAACATATGAACTTGTCAAACACGGCGTGCACCTTCTTTTAAAAGCCTCTTCAACGTTCAGTCTGACAGCAAAGACGGATATAAAAACGTACTTGTTGTAGAGAAAGACACCGGCTGCAGAAGCCAGCCCTCTGTTTGAGGCATAAACCAGGGGGTAA